AACCAAAGATTTGTTTTATGTGTTTGTTTAAAAGTTTTCTACAATGTCAGAAGCCTGGATCCAATACCAAAAAATAACATGGATCTGAAAATATTTATATATTTACACATCACTGTACAATAGATAATATCGGTAAAAAAATAATAAATAAACAAATAAATATAATTAGTTGTAATAAATGTTATATTTATATATACTTGTAATTTTCTTACAAATAGATTACAAATTACAAATTAATGATTCAATAATAAATACAGTTTTTTTTTGGCAGGCTTTTCTAGTGACACACAGTGCTGTATATTCAACAGAAATATTAAACCCTGAAACATGTCATGCGTTTACAAAGGGAGGGGTTTGGATTAAAGGTTTATCTGCACAATCAACCGCACCAACTATAAATGCACCGAAGCTCTCACAAAACCTAATCTTTCAGGATTTCGTGTTCGAACTGACAAGCTTTAATTATTTACTTGTTTTACTAACTACTAACGTTTTTATTTAGTTATGTGTTTTGTTTGATTTTACTTCATATTATATAAGCATAATAATAAGCATTTCTTTTTATAACTAGTCAGAAGTCAGTGTGTAGACCTGATGTATTTTGTCAGCTCAGTGTGAACTATAGGGCGGGACACTCACATCTTCTTGTGTTACAGCTACACCAGACACTTGTGTTACAGCTACACCAGACACCTGCCATGAGTGTCCTGCAGCTTTACAAGCGCTGCATCCAGGAGAGAGCAGGACTAAACCAGAATGATTGCTTTCTTTTAGTGCTTTACCCCTGCCTGCTGAGGTCAGAGGTCAGTCAGGGGATCATCTGTCTGCCTCCAGTGCGGATGAAAGCAGAACATCTTCATGGTGCCGCTGAAATGCCATCCATCATGCACAAGAGGCAAAACTGTGCCATGCATGCTGCCTGCCTGACCAGGTTTGAAACTTTTCATATTGTTTTTAGACCACATACTGTATGAAGTACAATGAAAGTTTTGTAAACAATGCAGATGCATTGTAAAAGATTCATTAAGTGCATATGAGCAGTTGGCATTTGTCTGTTGACAGTTCTGGTTCTATAAACTATATCTAATAATTGTGTGTGTAAAATGTGTCTAATGATTAAATATTTATTTCAAATAATTTTTAATATATTCATAAATATATATTTAAATATTTCAAAAAATGTGCTTGGATTGGGTTGAATCCACCTTAGAATCACATTCAAAAGCCAAAAGCTCTTTGATGCCTCCCAGAACCCCTGCAGCCGGAGATATTGCATTGGGATTTGAGGGAAACCAATCGGATGAGATTAAAGTGCGTTTCCCACGGCGGTCCATGAGACGCTTTCTATCCGCTTTCTACGTTTTCTTGATCTGTAAATGGAGGGAGAGTCCGGATGCGTCCCAAACCATCATCATTACACTTGCACTTTTTAGTTGAATGTTTTTTAGGTCAAGAATTTGTGATTTGAACCAACGTATTTAACTTAAACTCTTCACGCTTCTATAGTGAGTTCTGCACCAGGGTTATTATAATCAAGTGAAACTAAATGTTATTTGAAATTAAAAGGAACTTTAACTGGAATAAATTAAAATATATTTTTTTAAATGTAAGAATATATACTTTTAAAAGATTACAATAATTTATTTCAGCAACTAAAACTGAAATAAAAATAAAAAATAAACTATCTAGACATGAATATAAAATGACTGAAACTTTAACTACAATTAAAATGAAAACAAAATATTCATAAAACCTATAATAGTATCTCTATAACACTTACTTTTTTTTTTTTTTTTTTTTTTTACAAATCTAATTTATATTTTTGCAATGCACAGTTCGAATGTGATCTTGAATATTACTTTAGCATTTTTGTAGAGATGCACCGATTGCGATTTCCGATTTTTTTTTGTTAGTGTGATCTGCCGATACCGATTTTTGCCGATTCCGATTTTCTTTCTAAGAACTATAATTGACAGCATATACAAACAAAAATCTACTTTTCTTCAACGCAAAGTTTTATTTTCATAAAAAAACACAAGTAAAAAAAAAGTAATAAAATAAGAACAAATAAAAAAATTGCAAACAACAGCACAAATAAATGCAACAGAATAAAGAGAGCTAGAACTGACTGTGTTTAACTGGATACTCGCTAAGACGGGCATTTTGACATAATTTTGTATGTTTTAGCGCAGTTAGCCACTCATTTTGGTATTTGTAGCTCACAAGCTGTCTGAGACTGAGCGTGGCTTGTGCGCTCCACTAATATTGATCAGTGGTGGTGCACGCGTTTGGTGTAAACGCGAAACCTGCGGGAATTACTGCGAATGAGACGTGTGTGAGAGAGAAGGGGTCGTCGGAGAGAGAGAATGCGCGACATTATGGCCTGTGCCGCTGGTAACAAAACGAACCGGCTCGGAATCGAAAAGAAGTGAGACTGACCGGCCGATCACCGATCCGGGCCGATCATGAGGAAAATCCGCCGATTCCGATCCCTGGCTGATCGATCGGTGCATCTCTACATTTTTGTTGATTTTGTTGTCCTCTGATGTGGCATTAGCTCCTGCATCCTCATGTCAACAATTCCATTAAAACTGATTTGTGCTCCAACATCTGGTCCTCGGTGCAAAGTCAGCATGAAAGTCAAACAACGGGAGAAAGAATTAAAGTGACATAACCAGAGTGAGACAGATGGACATAAATATATGAAAAATATTTGCCAAATGCTCTGGGAAACACACATCAGGGCCTGACATCCTCTATCTGATAGACGCTGCTAAAAGCATCAGCCATCAGCGGAGCGTTGTGTGACTTTAATGACCTCAGGCACATTTCTCATTATCATTTTATATTTGTCTTTTGATGTCATGTCCTCTTGTCAGACACGGCTCGAGGGAGACGGACTCCTGTCTGAGGAAAGCTCAGTTCCACATGGACCTCTGGTGTTAATTTACCCTCCAGAACTGGCTGCTGGACTTTGGCAGGCCTTTAGCCATGGTATCAAAATAACGTAAAACAAGCTTCACATTGTTTTATTAAATAGAGATCTGAAAATAATCAAAACCTTTACATTTTAAAAAAATACATAAAAAAAACATCTTTGCGCAAAATTCATTATTTGACAACATTCCATGGCAATGATATTTTTGAGATAATAATTATAGTTTTTATTAATATATTAATAAATAATTAATATTTTTATTTTTATTTTATATTTTCCATTTTCATTTTCCTGTTAATTGTACTTTAAGTTTTAGTTGTTTTTTTTTCATTTATAAATATTTTATATACAATAATGTTAAATATGTAATTTTTTATTATTCTTATTTTACTTTAGTTATTTTAGTACATCAACCTAAAGTAAATGAAAATGAGAAATGTTGATGAAGTTTAAAGTTTTTTAATGATTATGTCAAGTAACTGTTGTTTTTTTTTTACTTATGAAAACACAATTTATCAATATTTTAGTAAAGAAAAGGTGGATGTTTTGAGTTTTCACTGTATAGAGATATACAGTATAGAGATAATTCACATTTTTTACTTGCAATAACATCTTTTTTAAAAGTATTTTACTGTAAAACTGCACGTATTGTTAAATGTAATATACGCTGTAGTTTTACAGTAAGGTTGTACTGTAGTTGTAGTTGTATTTTGTAAGGTAAATTGAAAGCAAATTTTTACATTATTTTTTTCTTTAAAATAATTCTTATTTTTTACGCTGCATACATTTTCTACACCTTTTCTTGCTTAATGAACAGTTTACACATTTATTAAAGCACTTGTATTAATTCTTTTGCACAAAGTGTTTCAATTTCAGCTGTAAGGTAGTTTTTCCTCACTATTTTGTAAGGTAAACTGAAAGCCAGTTAACAGGTTTTACATTATCAGAATCGGAAAGAGCTTTATTGCCAAGTGTGCTTACACACACAAGGTATTATCGAAAAGAAGTGAGACTGACCGGCCGATCACCGATCCGGATAACATATTTTTTAAAAGTATTTTACTGTAAAACTGCACGTATTGTTAAATGTAATATACGCTGTAGTTTTACAGTAAGGTTGTACTGTAGTTGTAGTTGTATTTTGTAAGGTAAATTGAAAGCCAATTTTTACATTATTTTTTTCTTTAAAATAATTCTTATTTTTTACGCTGCATACATTTTCTACACCTTTTCTTGCTTAATGAACAGTTTACACATTTATTAAAGCACTTGTATTAATTCTTTTGCACAAAGTGTTTCAATTTCAGCTGTAAGGTAGTTTTTCCTCACTATTTTGTAAGGTAAACTGAAAGCCAGTTAACAGGTTTTACATTATCAGAATC